TATTTTAATTGAATGGATTTCTCACCCTGCTTTCTTTGAATGAAAAGAATTAAAGCCTTCCGTGTTCTGTATTGTAACATAAAAACAGAAAACCCAAGTCGGCCTGTTAGAACGGCCTCCCTCCACTTTTTGTCCACTTTGTCGATTAAAATGGGGGTATCTCTATGATCTCAACAAAATATAACATAAAAAAACATCTGCGCAAACTGAAATTGAATAAGCAGAATTCTTTGAACATTTCTAACTTCGCTGTTTCTAGGCACCCTGAGCAAACGTCTTCATGGTTATCTTAGTTAAAACTGGGTTTACTCTGCCAACAATCAATTTGATTGACATATTTACATATCAACTCATCTCATCTTACAAATTTTAAACTTTTTCACTTAAAATTGGATTCAAGTTGGCATCTTTGGAGAACTTTATGTTCGTATATTTTAGGTTCAAACTGCGCATTAGAACATTTTCCTTAACTTTTGTAAGTAATAGATCCACATATCCAAATGTATATTTATGACCTGTCAGGATGGAAATTTATATGCAGGCAGTTGTACCCTCACTACTTCGTGTGAAAGGTGATAATTTTAGGCAACTAAAACTGAAATTCTTTTAATAGTATGAACGAAATTGTTCTATTAGAAACAATATAATAGAAATGAATGACTCAGGAACAAAACCACATCAGTTCTGACACCCTTGGGATGGAAGAATGACTCCCTCTGCCCCCACAGGGGGCTTATGCAGGTCCTCCGTTTCTGGCGGGGAGCACCCAGAAGCCATGGCGCATGTGCAGGCCCAGTCAAGGGAAGTGAGGGTGGCCTGCACCCCCTCACCCTCCCGAGCATCCCTGGGCGGGAGGGACCACGACCCTGAAGAGCAAACAGGAAACACCATGGCAGGTCAGGTGAGAGGGAGACCGCAGAAGAAAGAAAAGGTTGGATCTTTTTGCACCTGGAACCTCACTCTTCTCCTGGATCAAAGCTTAGGGGCTATAAGGAATCATCTGAGATTCACCTGCAAAGATGGGAGGTGATGAAGGAAATTCCACTCAGTTCAGAGTCAGTGACCTTGCCTCGCCCAAGTGTAAGGCTCCGAAATCCCCTCAGGGCACGGGGAGGGGCTATTGCTTGGCAGCCAGTCCCCTGAAATAGGTTCCCACCGGCCTGACTCATATTTCTTTCAAATGATGTCGCCTTATAAATAGAGAGCACAATCCAATTATCGTGCATGACGTTTAATGAAACAATAGACAAAGAAAGTTGAATATTTGTAATATTTCCTATTCTTTCCTATTAAAGAAGGTAATACTATAATATTCTAACATCCCTACTTCCCTGATTTGGATAAACCAACTGTAAAACCAATATTGTTGAGTTGGTGAAAGACAGTTGAATATGGATTGGGCATTCGATAACATTACAGAATTACTGTTAATATTCTAAGGTGTGAAAATGACC